AAGCCACCCAAGCGCTCTTGTTACGACCTCAATCTCCATTTCCATGCTTGAAGTTGCTCTTTCTATGGCCCCTGACATGCCATGTACCTTTTTGTTCTCACTGTACACATTTAAGGAAGGGGAAGTATAATTATGTGATATATTTTGCTACATTTAAGGGATGGGAAGCATACTATAAAATGGTTCACTCCATTTGAGGGATGGCTATTGTATATGTATGCGGTGATCAGTGCACACAATAATAGTTATGGTTTGCTATATTATTGAGAGATGGAAAGCATACCTGATAGGCTTTTGCTAAGTTTGAAAAATGGCCGTGGCCAGTACTCACTGTACCAAATTGACCACTACTTTGCTCCATCAAACATGTATTTGGTAGTCCACCAGGGCCTATCGCATTCCGCGCGAAAACAAAAGATCTGACACAGTCAAAGGCAGTAGCCTTCTCATCGATTGTTTTCATCAAGTGTATCAAACGTATTAGACGTCAACCACGAAAATTAAACATGTTTGATTTTGGAGGACTGGGTCAAACTGCAAAAAAATGATCGGTAGCTTTTGCTCCCTCATAGAAGAAACTTAGAAAACCTCACCACCTTCAAATGTATCAATAAATTATTGAGATTTGGCGAAATCGAAAAAGTACAGCAATGTGCACTGGTGATTGGGTTGAGAATGCCTTCAATATACCGTGTTCGATTTGTATGAGCATACTTTGTTGGTAGGTTTTCATTGTTATTTTCGGGATAATAAGACACCTTATTACTACATTTAATCGTTGCTGTTTGTTTGTTTGTTTGTTTGTTTGTTATGTTTTGTTTTTGTTGTGTGTGGGGGGGGGCGGGAGTTGGGGGTTGTTTGCTTGGTTGTTCGCTGTTCCAGACGTGATTTTTGAAAAAATAATAATAGAGCAAAGCAAATCGAATGTAAGGATGCGTTTATTGCACTTAATTTCGTACCGATACATCTGGTACTATTACGATTATGTCACATGTATACAGCATACGAATTCACTGAGATCATGGGAACGGACAGATTTGTTTCCAACTTTTTAAC